CAATAGAAAACTGGAGAAACTCCTTAACTTCTGAACTACGTGTAGATTGAAAGATGGACCCTATACAGACTTGTGGAGGTGAGTCAGGAGAGATTAAAGGAAAATCCAAAACATAAAGCAGAAGCGTAGTCAACGACAAGTTCCGGGTTCAATACCAAAGATAATCCAGGAGGAGAAGGAAGACAAGTCCAAATCACTAGGCGAGATCGAAGTCAAAGGTGAGTTCTGGGTTTGAGTATCCAAAAGCAAGAACAAGTAGTTATAAATGCGAGGCAAGGAGTTCCGAGGAAGCTAACAATATCAAGCAATGTTCAGTGAAACAGAGCAGGCCCAAGTATGTTTGGAAGTGGAGGGTGTGTTAACAAGTGAGGTGCTCTGATTGGATGAAGGGATAGACTGGCAGCGTTTGCGGGGATCGCCTCTGGTTGGTGCTTGTTTGGGGCGAGACCGTTTGTGTGGAGGATTCCGCTTAGCAGCTCCGACCAGTCAGATTGAGATCCCAGAGCAGTTTTTGTTTCCAGGTGTGTAGTACACAACAGTATCAATCTGCTGCATCTTCAGCCTGGACTCCTGTGATGGTCAGAGTGAAGTCAGCCCCAGATCCACTGCCAGGAAAGGGAAGGACTATGTATTTGTGTCTATGTCATGCTGTTGTCAAACCCTCTGCAGCAAGAGGGTGCTCCTTCTCTGTCCTGTCTCTCATTTCTGGTTCTTTGCTGTCCTTCCGGTGTTTCTCTCTCTCTGGGGCTATATATTTCCGGGCCTTTCAGTCTGCCTTCGCTCAGCATTGATGTTCGGATGTCCTGAAACCCACCTAGCACCAGGTCGCCCCACGTCTGCTGCCTGAGGGCATAGGTTTCTATACGACTCCTGAACAGCTGAGCCCGGACTAACTCCCCGTCTCACTGCTACGCATAGGGTCTTTTTTGCTCTCCTGCCTCTCCACGGTTCGTCCCTTCAGACGTCCGTGACAGCTGTGTGTGCACTGTGATGGACTCATGTCTGGTCCAGGGTGTATGCTATCTTGCTCCTACTTCTTCCTGGGGTAGGATTTGGCTTTTCTGTGAATTGGATAAGTAGTTATTGAAAGAGATGTGATGTGAAAGCTAAGGACTGTTTCCTTCACATTTTAAGCTGCAAGGATTTATTAATTTGCAGGACAGAAATGTAACTGGTTCAGTTTTTATCAGTTTGTACTTTGTACTAGGATTTTATTTCCCCTTTTCTTTTCCTAAGTATAGAAATATCTTTGTGAACCTGTAACCTAAATCTAGATTAGAATACTGTATTTTCAAATGTGTGGAAAACAATGCCTCCAGTTCAGATTCTTTATTTCTAAAGCCAATAAGGAGATGTAATTTGATCTGTTCATCACAAACCTTGTTACTGAAGCTCTGAGTATTGGTGTGCAGCTGATCGCAACAGGCTGTGTCCTGTGTCTTTGCTTTTTCTCTTTTCTTCAGTATCACAGTATCATTCAGAAATGTTGAGCGTGAACCATACATAACCAAATTATTTTTATATATTGTTGATTACAAACCTGAATGACAACCATTTGCTGTGGGGTGGTGGCACTGTGGCTAAGGCTCTGCACCTACGATATGGCTAGAAAGTTCCTGGTTCAAATCCCATGGCTGGTAGAGGAATCTTACTCTGTTGGGGCCCCTAAGCAAGGCCCTTAACTGCAACTGCTCCAGGGGTGCTGTATAAATGGCTGACTCTGCACTGTGACCCCAAGCTTTTCTCTCCCCACCTGTGTCTCACGGAGAGCAGGCTGGGGTATGCGAAAAGACAAATACCTAATATAAGAAATTGTATATGGCTAATAAAGTGATCTTACCTTATGTATCCTCTTCAATGTAACAAAAATCATCTTTGACTAACAGATTTCTTTGTGTTTGTGTTCTAACGTCACTCAGTGTGTTTGTGTACAGTTGAGTTCCTCCACAGGCTGTGATCTGTGTCTGTCTTCACCCTCAACACCTGCAGGACCTACTAAGGGGGGGTTTGTACAGCTGTGTGACACTGTCAAAGTACCCAGTACTACTGTACTGTCAGTACTACTGACTACTGTTCAGGCAGTGCTCACTCTTACAGTAATAATCTGCTGCTTCTTCAGCCTTACAGCTCACAGTGACTGTCTGTTCAGGGAGAACAGGTTTCACACCTGCAGTCTGATTCACAGTGATCTGTTCACTGGATTCTGAAAATCAACAACAAGTTAATGATAAACTATGTAAAGACAGGACATGAAATTATTATTGCTTTTGTAATTTTGATCTCCTGTGTCTGTAAGCACAAAACTCTGAAGCACAAGAAGAACTAGAAGCAAACAGAGCTCTGAGTTTATCAGTCTGCCGTATTGAGAGAACCTGCTCCCATGATGGAAAGCTTCTTCATCATGAAAGACTCAGCACTTCCAGCTTTTATTCAGAATGTGCTTTAAGAAAAAAAGTCATCTGTGTCTCTGTTTTTAAGATTTTGTGCCTTAAAAACCACCTTACTCAATTGTGCTTTGTTTGAATGGTTTGGTCTGGTAAGAGAAGTACAGATGAAATTTGCATTTATAAGCATGGTGATGTTGATTTAGAACATAACCAGTCTGATGCAACCCAGCCTCCCAAGATCTGTCCTCATACGAATTACAGAAGCACAGCCACATCCTCCTTATAAATGACACTCAGGGGGTAAATGTGAGGAAGAACAGTTCTGATCTGACAGTCGCCGCCTTCTGTCTTCCCAGGGAAAGGGAATTACAATGGAAATGCCACTAGGTGTCGCCATAAGAATGACTTCAAAAACTATGGAAGTAATGTCACCTGGTGTCACTAGTTGTGTAATAGAATAATGGCTTAAAATGTGAACTTCCACATCTGGGGGTTTAATGAGGATATTAACTTGTGTTTAAAAGTAGGTCTTTATCGATGTTTGGTGGAATAGGTGATGGTGGAGAATGGGATGAAATTGGGAGCAGTTTTGTTGGTAAGGAGGTATAATAATTAGTTTGCAACAGAAGATAGAAGAACAGAAGACAGATTTAGTTCTGATAGCTACTCTGCCTGAAGGTTCTTTTTTTAAAAACAAGTTTTGGAAAATCACCTTAACTACTCCTGAAGTGAACTGATTGTATATGTTGAGTCAGTCAGAACCCAACAGTTACAGTCAGATTGAAATCCAGATATCAGTGTATCTGTTCAGGAGTAGACTGTCAGATTTCTGCTTTAGATTGTCCAGTGTCTCTCTAACTAAAAGACTGAAGTTGGTTTGACTCTTAAAGTGTCAATAATACATCAGGCTCAATTCTGCAGAGTGAGCTGGGATTTGCTATGGTAACTGGCCAACCCACCACTCTCCTATTGTTCAGTGCTTGTTACCAAGGAAAGGCTTTCTGACAGGAAACCTGTACCACCTGCAGGCAATTTACATCCACACCCGCACCAGGTGGTGCAGAATATTTAAGGACTGCTGGGACAATAATTTAAGTGCCAGCAGTCTTAATCACATGGTGCTCTGTGATTAAGACTGCTCGGAGCCTCCCTGTATTCCTTGTTCCAGGATCTTTAGTTTCCTAGTTCTCTAGCACCCTGCCTTGTGCTGTGTCTTGGATATTTAACCCTTGCTTTGTTCTGAGTCACCTGGATTTGTCCTTTGTGATCTGGTACTGTGTATTTCAACCTTGGTTGCTTATCTTGACTGTGGTTCTAGATTTGCTCCTCAGTGCCTTCACTGTGTCTCTCTGGCTTTGAGCCACACGTGCTTCTGGTCACAGATCTGCACTGTTTACCTGCACCAGTCTCTGCCTGCGTCCCCAGCCTGTACTACACCACACATGCGTGCGTGCTCACCACAGCTTGGCCTTGTCTATCTGCACTTCCTGTTTTATTTTCTGAATGTGATCTTCCATCCTTAATGAGCTACAGAGTCTGAAGTGTCCTTTGAGCTGCCCCTGTCAGGATTGAGATTGTTCAAACCTTCTTTACGTCTGCCTTGTTCTAGATTGAAGAGATTAAGTTCCTTTAACCCGTCTCTATAACAACCGGCTGACTGGTGGTTTATCTATAGAGACCAAGGACCATTCTTATTCTTCCATCTCTTTCTAATGATAAAATCACTTTGAGGTGCAGTGAGCAAAACAGAGGACTGTTCTGCATCAGTTATTACTAGTGTATTTAAGAACTACTCTGGGTTTAAATTCCACTCTTTGTGCCAAATACACTGACCATCTGTCAGTGTTTTACCCCAGACTGTCCTGATAACCCTGAAGAATCAGCATAAACACCCAGATGTCCTTCCTGCAGCTCTGAATCCCCATGAGACAGGATTACAGGTTTTCTATGAGCAGTCGGAGTTGCATCCTTACCACTACCATGATTGTAGAATCTTATCCCTGCTGCAAAGGAGACTTTTACACTTCTTAAAATGGGGTAAAAGATGACAGTAAATGACAAAAGATAATTCATCCTTATGTTCCACCTTTAACAGCCTGCTGGTTTCCTACTACGTTAGTTATAGCAGTGGTTCTCAAAGTGTGCTCCGCGGACCACCAGTCATCCGGGATCGTGCGCCAGGTGGTCCGCAGGCTAACCTAATCATCTTTCTTAAAACAAGTCTACGCTGTTTAAGTTTATGCATTGTTGTTTTATGTTTTCTTGTTCACACTTTATGAAGCTGATGGGGAAAATGCAGCCTCATCCTTTTTGTATGTTTGCGGTAAAATACTCCTGCGTCCAGTCCAGGGAGACATCTCAGCTTGCGAATTGTGATTGCCGGGCTCGTCGCGACTCACTAAGGATAAACTAAATAGCACTAAAAACGGACAGGTGAGAGATTTTAAAAATGTATCAATAATTCTGTTCACTAAAACTAGAATCGCAACAAGGCAGTTTTACCGGGCAGAGAGCTCGGGGAGGTACTGTAGCTTGTCCAGTGTGAGCGCCGCGGGTACCTCCAGGCGCGCCTGCAGTTTTTGTACAGGCGCTCTATCAGAGTCAGTCACTGTGGTGGACTTTCGGCGGCGGGACCAGACTGAGTGTGGGCAGTAAGTACAGCGCAGCCTCGCCGTCTTCCTCCAGGGCTCTCCGCACAGAAAAACCCCGCAGGACTGCACGGCTCTTAGAGAAACACGAGCGCTTTTATGATCATATTTAAGGTTGATATTATTAATGTCCTGTACTTAACACATTCCACGATCTTGATATAAAATAGTAAACGTCAGGATCCTTGGGTTTCCAGGCGAGATAAATGAAGATATAAACCTGTAGAAACGCTGTAGATGCTCCTCTGGTCCGGGAGCAGGTTTTTCTACGAGCGCTGAATCAGGTTCAAGCACTGTGGTACACTTTCGGCAGCAGCACCAGACTGAGTGTTGGAAGTAAGTGATCTCTCCGTCTTTTCAGAGCTGTTTCTGTGTGTTTTTCTGAAATTATTTTTTGTCACAGAAATTGCAACTTTGAAGCTCATGTTAGCAGTTTTTTTAAAGTTCTTATTTTATAAAGCTTAAGAGTGTTGTGTTGAGAAGAGCAATTCGAGTCCGGCTAAACTGCTGCAGCGCTCCTCCACAGTGCGGGATACTTTACAGGCTTCATCTCGTGTAAATCCTGAGTGTCAAATTTATTATGTTTGCTTTATAGTATGAATGCTTCTATTTTGAGTAGGCTTCAACGTGAAATGTGCATTAATCCTGCTGGTACTGGAGATACAGAGTCGGTGTCAAAAGCGCACAGCGGAATGTTTCCACTTCCCATGGTCTGAAACCCGATTGAGACTGTTGGGCTCAGACACCGCCGGTCCAAGTGAGACCAGTGATGCCGCAGTGTAGCCGCTGACTCGGGTCCATTTCAGGCGGAGAAGAGCTGACAGGCGCGGGCTGTGCGGAGACAGAGCAGCGTCTCCGCTCCCGCTGCACTCCGGGGGCTGACAGAACCCAAACTCAAATATCAGGAATAGGAATTCGTATATACAGTATGCACTGGAGTTATTGCTGTTCAATTACAACATATTAACATAAAGCATATTTTTAAATCTTTTTTAAGAACAGAAAAATCATAATTCATTGTGTGCATATCAGCTAAGTGTTGAAGTAGATAAGTGTCGTTTCAATGTTCCCGTTAGCGTTAATAATTATTTTACAATTCAGGGGCTACACGAAGCTTTGACGGTTTAAAAATTGAATAATATTGTTTTCGATTGTTTTATCTCTCGCTAAATGATCTCTGCTCTTGGGTTCATAATTGCTTTTGGATTTTTACTTTGTAAGATTTTGAATAAGCTGTAGGGACAGCGGAAATGAAGACAAGAAAGTATACTTTTTGTAGTAACTGTACAGTCATCATATTAAGCTCCAAAAATGCTTAATCCAACAAGACGTGTTTTATTAAACACTTAATTAAAAAAGTGTTTTATTTGTACTTTATATTTCATAGCAGGCATACGTTTTTCTTCTTCCAGGTGAATACACTCGCGAATTTCACAGTTATTTGTAGCGTCTTGTACTTATAAAGCCTCCGTACCCGCCGGTGCTGATGGGTCCTGCAGACGGTGAAACAATCCTGTCATTACGGGTCAGTTTAATTCAGCGGGAGGCGACAGGTGCCACGTTGGGCTTTTAGTACAGGAGGCAGCAGGCATACAGCTTAAGTTTGTAGTCCTCAATAAGCAAGATATGGTTAAAACACATTTAGGGAAAAAAACTTTCAGACATTACCAAAATGAGGTGTATTTAATTAATATTAAATACATGTATTTCCAACTGAAGAACTTTAGTCCTGAATGTCCTGAAAGAGTTATTCAAACCATGTACAAAGGTGTAGAACTTTAAACTTCTTTTTCCTTTTTTCAGCTATCTGTCAATAGTGAAATAATGTCTATTTTGCAACAGTTCGGGTTCTTGCTCCTTGTGGGTCGGTGAGAGTCTCTCCAAGGCGGCTGTGAGTCTCTCTGATCTCATTCCAACCGGTTTCCGTCTGCAGGTAACGCGCTGCCGTCTCTGTCCCTCCTGCCGCCCTCCACTGTGGAGCTGAG